ATGCAGTTTAATTCTCTTTCACTGCTGTAAAGTAAAAAATAAAGCACATTATTGCAGGGTTTATGGGTTCTATCCTATATTTATTAACGTATGAATAGGTGGAAATAAATGATCCCCGTTTATTTTTACAAATGGGTGTTTTAAAAAAAACATTTTTTTCATCTTACTAAAATGTTTGATACATAATAAAAATTAGTTCTATCATAATTTATTCATTTTATTGACAATATCTTAATAGGAGAAACAAATTTCAGCAAAAGTAGGAAAATCTAATGGATGTGAATATTGATCTATACAGCAAAATATCCATTTGCATGAGTCCATATTTTCCTCTCAAGTCCAAGAATAAATGTGATGTCTGGACACAGAGCGCGGCTGAGTTTGCTTTTCTAATCCAGTTTCTAAAGGAGGAAACACAACAGGAGTGCAGCCAGAGAAGATATGAATAAATCAATACAGGATGTTCACAGATCACAGACTGTGCAGCCTGACATCAGATGAACACCGACTGCTTCTTTGCTTTCTAATCAGAATATTAATCTGAGTTTGAATCCTGTCTGACTGGTGAAAGATGATACATTTACACCCGTCTGAGAATAAAACCAAACAAACCTGCTATCCTTGGTAGCAGTTTCTATTGTGTTTAACTAGATAGGATATAAGGGATCTACTCAAAGCAGTCCTTATAGCGTCTTGCTACTGTTTAAGTTTTATTGTTTAATTTCCAAACATTTTGTTTTTAGTAGACATAAGAAACCTGTTTCTGCCTGACAAGTGGAAAAAAACTGTAAGAAAGTCCTGATAATAGATCATATTTTGGAAAACTGGGATAGTTCCATTGAAAAGACAACTAACTTTATCCATCAGGCTACATAAGGAGACATCTTTATGGGAATACACACAGTGACACAAATTAATAATTTATATTATGTATTAAGTGTATGTAATACAAAGCTAGATGAAAAGCTACTGGACACATCTGTATACTCAGATTATACCAGCTAGCTTTCTTTTTCTTTCATTTCCTCTCCTATTCATGCCCCCAAATCACCCTGGTTTATAGATATTGAACCCAAGTTTAAGGTTTTTATTGGGATGGGCCTGCTTAACCCTTTATAGGGCACTCAAATACTTTGAAAAGCCAAATTTCAAGCCAATAGTGTTAATGGAATCCAGGACAAGACCTTATTACCTTTGTAACATTCAGAAAATATGGATATTTTGATGGCAAAAATTAATGTAAATGTAATAACAAGAAATGCCAACTTGCCCGAATATATTAAGAAAAATAAAAGTGCTTCTATGAGAAATTCATGAAAAACACTCTGAGATGGAAAGAAACATGTTTTTTGTTACAATCTAACCTTAGGCATTAATGCTGATACTGGCAATTACATGTTTTAGTTTATAAACCTATATATAATTGTAAAACTAGGCTTATTAACTTTTTTAATTTACTTTTTTCATATGTTTTTTTCAACTTAATTGACAGTATTTTATCATTCAAGGGCTCATCAAATTGGTCAAATGCCAAAATAAGTTGTACAGCCATGTAGCAGTATCTTTGCTGAATGGCTAGATATAGATCTTGTGCTTCTAGACCTCACTGAGGGACTGGGGGGGGGCTGGAAGAAACCGTTTCTTCCAGCCAGAAAACACCTTGAAAAATCCAGAAGACATTTCCAACCCTGGAACATACTGATATAGTGTGGAGATTAAACTCATGCAACCAAAGGGAAGTGCAGCAATTAAAGGCTGAATTAAAACAGGGTTTTTACAGCAGGTGGGAGGTGGATTCCTTAAAGGAAGGAGCTACATCAGCTAATCCGGTCCAAACCCTGACTGATGATGGCTGATTCTTAATTTACTGTTTGTTTCTTACTTTATATCTATTGTACAGGACTGTCTCAGAAAATTAGAATATTGTGATAAAGTTCTTTATTTTCTGTAATGCAATTAAAAATCATGAAATGTCAACCATTCTGGATTCATTACAAATAAACTGAAATATCGCAAGCCTTTTATTGTTTTAATATAGTTGTTTATGGCGTACAGCTGAAGAAACCCGAATATCCTATCTCAAAATATTAGAATACTGTGAAAAAGTATACTAGTAGGCTATTCAACTAATCACTTGAATCGTCTAATTAACTTGAAACACCTGTAAGGGTTTCCTGAGCCTTGAAAAACACTCAGCTTTGTTCAGTAAACTAAATCACAAGTATGGGGAAGACTGCTGATCTGACTGCTGTCCAGAAGACCATCACTGACACCGTCCATCAGGAGGGTAAGACACAAATACATTTCTCAAAGAGCAGGCTGTTCAAAGAGTGCAGTTTCAAAGCACATTCACAAAAAGTGTGTTGGAAGGGGGAAATGTGGCAGGAAACGCTGCACAACCAAGAGAGGTGACCGCAGCCTTAACAGCATTGTAAAGAAGAGCCGCTTCCAGAATGTGGGGGAGCTTCAAAGACAGTGGACTAAAGCTGGAGTCCAGGTATCAAAAGCCACTGTTCACAGACGTGTCCGGGAAATGGGCTACAATAGCCGTATTCCCATGGTCAAGCCACTTCTGAACTCAAGACAACGGAAGAAGCGTCTGACTTGGGCTATGGAAAAGAAGCACTGGACAGTTGCAGGGTGGTCCAAAGTCCTCTTTTCAGACGAAAGCAAGTTTTGTATGTCATTTGGTAGTCAAGGCGCCAGAGTCTGGAGAAAGGCTGGAGAGGCGCAAAATCCAAGTTGCTTGAAATCCAGTGTGAAGTTCCCACAGTCAGCGATGGTTTGGGGAGCCATGTCAGCTGCTGGTGTTGGTCCACTGTGTTTCATCAAGTCCAGAGTAAATGCAGCTGTGTACCAAGAGATTTTAGAGCACTACATGCTTCCATCTGCTGAAAAGCTCTATGGAGATGATGATTTCATTTTCCAGCATGATCTGGCACCTGCCCACAGTGCCAAAACCACCAGTAACTGGTGTACTGACCATGGCATTACTGTCCTTGATTGGCCTGCCAATTCCCCTGACCTGAACCCCATAATGAATTTGTGGGGTATTGTGAAGAAGAAGCTGAAAGACACCAGACCCAACAATGCAAATGAGCTAAAGGCCGCGATTGAAGCATCCTGGGCATCCATAACACCTCAGCAATGCCACAGGCTGATTGCCTCCATGCCACGCCGCATTGATGCAGTAATCTGTGCAAAGGATTCCCAACCAAGTACTGAGTGCATTAATGGACATTTTCAAATGTTTGATTTTGTTTTGCTGTTATAATTTTTTTTTTTTTACTTGGTCTGAGGAAATATTCTAATATTTTGAGATAGGATTTTTGAGTTTTCTTCAGCTGTACGCCATAATCAGCTACATTAAAACAATAAAAGGCTTGCGATATTTCAGTTGATTTGTAATGAATCCAGAATGTATGACATTTTATGATTTTTAATTGCATTACAGAAAATAAAGAACTTTATCACAATATTCTAATTTTCTGAGACAGTCCTGTATATCTCTCCTAATTCTCATCAGAATTTTTTATCTTCTCCAAATAATTTCCACATCTTCTCACCTCTTCCACACATTTCCTGACTGAAATCTGTGCTTGACAAAATTATTGACTTTGTAAACCTAAACCTACATCTTTCTTGGAATTTTTTTTTTTTTTTTTTTAAGGCAACTCATGTTTGTTCCTCATAATGCTCCCAATAAAATCAAAAACATTTTCTACGGTCCCTGCTCGTACCGGCATGGAACTTACCTGCAAACCTTTTCAGTGGAGTATTTGGGTTTGTTTTTATAAAGAAAAGCTTTCTGATGTGCATTTGTTAGAAATGTATCTTTTATAATGACCACTTTTTAAAAACTATGGATTAATTTTCCTGTAAAGACTTTTTGAACCTAAACATGTTTTTGGTTTCATAAAAATTCAGAAAATGCTCCATTGACAATGAAGAACTTCACAAACATAAGCTTGTAAATTTCTATACACAGATTGGCCAGGATATAATAAATCTAATTGCTTAATTCCAAAAATGTCAGTGTTCTGATTCAAAAGGTTTTCAAAATTGTCTGACATCCTTTTAGGCTTTCCATTATTAAATAAATTAGTCTAATTTTATTCAACAGTTGACTGCATATTTCAACCTTTGTTTTAGATTGAAGCCGAATCACAAGAGAATCCGGCTTTAAAGTCTTCCAGGGTTAAATTTGTGGCGTTTTTTTTTTAAGCAACATCCAATAAACAATCTTACTGATTGAATACAATCATTCTATATTGCATTAAACTTTTTTTTATTATTCAAACTTATTGTACAACAGCTTTTATATAAAGATTGTTCTTTACATAGCAATGAAAGAATGTTGATATTGCAAATAAAGAAGCAATAATAACTGAATAATACATTCAAATAAATAAGCTTTTTTGCATTTTGAATGGTTCCAATGCAGCTACAGAAAAGCAAAACTGAAATACAAAAACTATTTTTGCAGAAGGCTTCAACATTGCAGAGATCCCTGGCTTTCAGTTTTAAAAGAAAAATGTAGTTAAAGTATGAGGGGAGACGCTGCGAAAGTAGACATAATTCTACATCCTTATGTTAGGAATGTCAAGATCCGATATCAGATTAGTCCAATATCAGCCAATTAAACTTCAAATACATCGGCCTGCATCTAAAGTCTCCAATATTAGCACAGCCACACCCATGCTGTGCTTCTGTCTGGTTTCTGTAAACGATTAGGAATAAATGGGTCAATTATTCTTGTTATTGAACCTGGTCACCATTTTACTAATAACACATGTAAAGCATTTTCCAAATTACGCGCCACTAAAGGAGCAATAAAAGTATGTGATTCATGCTGATATCCTATTAGATAAATATGGGAGCGGTAAATACTCAAAAGTATCAGGTTGGTGTCGGATCAGAGATGAAAAAGTTCCGCTGGTTGACATAAAACTTTCTAGATTATTCATGTATCAAAACCTAGTTTAACACACCTCAGTTCAGCTATAAAACTCTAAACACTTTGAAAAAGGTTCATTAGTATCAGAATCTCAATCAAAGCAAAGTCCAATTTCCTTATTTTCATCAGTCATGGTGATTGGATCTTTATCAACATTTGGACAAATAGCAAAAAAAACCTAGAAGTGATACAAAGATGTGGTTTAAAAGCTTTGGCAGCCAAATAAATGTATGTTTCTTCAAATCAGCCGAATCATTATTTAATACATTTTATTAAAACATGAAGAATCATTTTAAAGCTTGCAGATTTTTTTCAAAATTCAAAAGTTTCAAGAAGTCCCAGGTTTGAAAGCTATTCTGGTATTCTGAATTTAAAAGAGATTAAAATTCAGAATACCATCTTAAACAACTGCACACAAAGGGAAAGAAGAAATGCAATATGTTTTCTGACCGCTAGGTGGATCCAAAATCAACCATCTGGATGGAAACAGGAAGATTTTTTTCCAAACTGCTCATCCATTACCTTTAATAATAATTTATTTGGTTTCCTTCATCAGCTACAATCAGGATTTGATCAATAGAGGAATTATTTTCTTCGGGCAATTATACAAAAAATAAATAAATATTTGGGTTTAAATGGGCATAAATGGCTGATAGGAAACCTTGTAAAAAGATCAAAAAGCAGCACATTAGTGAAAAGAAATAGTCTTTATACATTTATGGATGTATATAAAGTAAAAATGATAAGACAGCAGCAGTTAAACCCCTGAAGACAAACTTTCAAGTCCATGGTGGGCTTTAATGGGCTGCACCATCAATTGCCCTTCTTAAACTTCCTCATGTGAGCCGCTATGGAGCTGATGATCTCCACACTCCGTTTATTCTGTCCAAAATAATCAACAAACTCTCCGTCGGGTCCAACGAGGTACATGATGATGGTGTGATCAACCTAGAAACAACATCAGGGTTAGTTCTGCTCCACGGAGACAAAATGTTTAAATAAAAGTGGAACAGCTGAGACTCACGATGTAATCGTTGTCTTCATCCTTGGGCCCCTGACTGTAGTACACCCTGTAGGCCCTGGAGACCTCGTCCACCTGGGCCGTCGTCCCCGTCAGACCAATCAGCTTTGGAGAAAACTCTGATAGAGAGATCAGACTGTGAGACATCAACAGAACCACAGAGAGGGGAAAAAATGATCTGGACCGATGGAACCAGCACCGCATGTAGGACTGAAACTAACGATTATTTTGCAAATTGATTAATCTGTTGATTATTTCTTTCAATTAATTGATTAATAATCAGAAAGCCAAAGGTTCCTTAAAGAGTTTTTTTTTTTATTTTATTTTTTTTTACGAAATTAAACCAGGTGAAACTAAAACTTTTCCACTTTAGAGTTCTGGATAGAAAACATTTACAGAAAATGTTTTTTATCTTAAATGCAAAATGTTTAAATACTTTATTACAAATTTGACATAATTAGTGCTCCAAGCGGGTTGCTCTGTCAGTTTAAGATGTGTTTTACCATCTGTATACTCCATTTAATGTTTAATTGATTACTAAAATAGTTGACGATTATTTCAATAATCGATCACAATTAATCTGATTGTTCCAGCCATAACTGCATGTGCTACATAGATCTATAAAGAGCTAGAAATAGGATAATTTGTAAATCAGTTCATCTGTTGACTACCTTTTCAGTTAATTCATTTATAAGCAGATGGTAAAATGTGCTAAAAGGAGATTTGGACAGAATTTGAACCAAAACTGCTTCTTTAAGAATTCTGGATGGAGCAAATTACCCATATAGAGGGCATGTTTCAAAATGTCTATACTTCATTTATCCATTATAGATTAATGGTTCGGGTCCTAACTTAATAAACATCCCGTATTTTAAAGAAACTTTATAAAGAAGGACTGTTCTGTTTTAGGAACTCTTCTAGATGATTTCACAAAGAAGAATTCCTTATAAAATTAAAAATATTTTGGACAACAGTCAAAAAACAGGATAAACTCCAAGTATAAGTTCAGGATTTCTTCCAAATTTTCAGACTAAACCAAGGAGTCTGTCCTGTTAGACTCTAACAGGACAGACTCCTTGGTTTAGTCTGAAAATTTCTAACAGTTAGAGGGTTCGCAGTGTTGATCCGATACCTTTCACATATGCAGCCATGGCCTCTGGAGTGTCTCTATCTGGATCTATTGTGATCAATATGGGCGTCAAGTTTGGAAGAGCCTTGATTTTATCTGCAGAAAACCAAACACAAACAGGCTGTTTGTTAAAACGTGATTATCTCTAATTTTTCTGTATTTGAAGACGGATTTCATTACCTATTTCATCCACAACTTCAATCATCTTCTCTATCTCGTCTGGGCAGATGTCGGGGCAGTGAGTGAAGCCGAAATAGATGAGGATCCATTGGCCGAGGAAGTCTTCGCTCTTGGTGGGCTTGTTGTTGTGATCGACCAGCGAGAACGGCCCGCCCAGCGCCGGCCGCCCGATAGATTTGTTCCGCTCTTTCTCAATCACTGAAAAAAATAAAACAGATTTTTAGTCCCGGACATCATGAAAATGTCTGGTTCTTCTTCCAAAAGTTTTTAAGCATCACTTTGATGAAGGAAGTTACTCACATTCCTCTTTTTCTTTCTTGAAATATTTCATCCCTCCCAGCAGAGCACCTCCAAGGGCGAAAGTGACCGCTAATGATTTCCACGTCACAGGCTTTAAAAGACAAAGAACAGGAGCTGATATGAAACAGATCCGTACACCTCAGCAGGACGGGTTCAGATAGGTGGGTTCATAAGTTTGGAGTTTAAATGTACAAACCTGTAAACCCATCATTTGGTTTAATTCAGCATTTAGGAGTGATTAAGAAGCTCTTGGTCTAAATTTAGCTTTCAAGCACTGAGGAAATGCTTAGAAGAAATCAATGCCTGGATGTGCCATAATTTTCTTCAACTGAATAAAAACCAAACTGCAGTAATAATCTTTGGACCAATAGAGGAGAGATCTAAAGTTAGCACACAGCTTCAGTCGCTTCAGCTAGTAACCACTGATCAGGCCCGAAGTCTAGGTGTAGTGCTGGATTCAGACTTGAACCTCCAAAAGCATTTAAAGACAATTACAAGGTGGGCTTTCTATCACCTGAAGAACATTTCCAGGATTAAAGGACTAATGTCTCAGCATGATCTGGAAAAACTAATCCATGCGTTTATTTTTAGTCGAATTGATTACTGCAACGGTGTTTTCACAGGTCTGCCTAAAAAGTGGATCAGACAGCTGCAGCTGATCCAGAACGCTGCTGCCCGTGTCCTCACTAAGACTAAGAAAGTAGAGCACATCACCCCAGTTCTAAAGTCCTTCCACTGGCTCCCTGTATCTCAGAGAATAGACTTTAAAATCCTTCTGTTCTGACAACATGACAGTTTTTTTGTCAGTGCATCAACCTCCCAGACCACTCAGGTCTTCTAGTTCCAGCCGACTCTGTTCACCCATAACTAGAACCAAACCTGGAGAAGCAGCATTTAGTTCCTTTGCTCCACTGATCTGGAACAAACTCCCAGAAGACTGGAAAAGTGCTGAAAGTCTGAGTTCTTTTAAGCCAAAATGAAAAACCTATTTAGAGCTGCTTTTGACTCCTGAAGGTAAACTGTTTACTCAGTGTTATTAGTTTAATTTTAAAGTTTTCTCTCCCCTTGTAGGGGACGCTGCACATATGGCTGTTAACAGCTGCTCCCTCTAGTTTTTCCCTGATCAACCAAGCAACTATTTCAATGAGGGAATAAATAAAAACATCCTTCTCCAAATGTTTGTAACAAAAACACTGTTCCAGCTCTCAGTTATTCTACCGTATAAATCACTCTAATTTTCTCCATCAGTCACTCAGTGGAGCTAGAGTCCTCTCAATGAACTACTTTTTTCATGTTTTTTATCTTTACTTGCAGTTTTTTACTGTCGAGTGTAAAGCGGCTAGTTGGTCAACGGAGGTACTGCATGGGGGGGGTCGCAAAAGTTTTGTTTGATTAGCCTTTTTTTTTTTTTTTTATATTCCCCCCTGCAATTTTTTTCCACTAATTGAAATGTCTTTAAATCCACATTAACGTTAATTCAACACACTGTAGTAAACAGATCAATGGAGACAGAAGATGTCTTTCAGTCATCAATGCACACATTCAGCGACACACAGGAGCTCTTTCAAGCTGGACACCGTTTCATTCACAACACCTGTCCCATCAACCAGGAATCAGAATCAGAAATACTTTAATAATCCCAGGGAGAAATTACTTTCGTTACATTACTCCATATGTAATAGAGTGACTATAGGACCAGATTGATAGAACACAATTTCATACAATATATATAATTAGGGGGTCCCTGCTCCTTCTTACCATCAGTTTGGGGGTCCTTGGTCTTGAAGAGCCCTGGTGTAAAGCACTCTGAATTGTCTTTGTACTGCACTGTGCTAAATAAATAGTTTTTAAATCCCTAACCCAGGTTTATGTGTTAACAAGAATTGTTTTATTCTTTATAATTTAAGTTAGTTTATGAGATAACATCCAAATGATTAAAAAGAATGGTTTCACTAGAAGAAAAGGTAGATTCTAGAGAGGCGAGTTCCAGGGGCCCGCCATATGTGGCTCCAGAGTCCTGCATTTTTCTTTTGCTGCTCCTCCAGCTATGACAAAAAATGTGTAGCTTCAGCAGTTCTATTATAACATTTCTGTCAGGGTTTAACAGAATAATAAAGGAGTTAAAATGTATGCTTTTCTTCCTACATTAAGAAACTAAAATTATGTGTTTTAATCTACTTATTTGGGTTTATGGATCTAGACAAAGCATTTAGAATGAGCACAGAATATTTAATCATAAAAGACAGCTAGCCTTTGGCTTCATTAGACACCAAATTTTAATCTTAGATTTATTTTGTCATTTTGTATACACAAGTGTAAAAAAAAAGATATTTTGTTTAGAACAGTTCTCTTGACAAGTTAATTTTTTTAAAGTGCAGCCTTGATCTAATCTAATCTATTCTAAGCTGGAAACAAACTCTGAAGTCCTGATTAAAGGCTGTGGACCAGATACGTCTGATGAATTTTGAAACGTTCAAAAAGTTCTCCAATTAAGCATTAGTTTAGGTATTTTGCAATCAGATAACATTTGGAAAATTTTACCTCACATTTGAGATGAACTATAAAGCTTTTATAAGATGTGATCGCTTTCTTTCCACCTACCCCTGATTTCTTAGTCTTCTCGCCTGATGATGATGAGGGTGGAGGCATTGAGGAAAATGATCTCGATCCATGAAACTTGAGCCATTGTGTTCTTCTGTAGGTTTGCCACCGACTGACACTCACCTGCAAGAGACCACAGAGCAAAATATGACAGTAATTAGATTCATTAAGCAAAAGAAAGCAAATTTCACTAGTATAATTAAAATTAATGTGATAAGTTATATCACCGAATACCGTAGTAAGGCCCAAAGATAAATATAAAATTAAAAAATATATACATTTTTTATTCCAATTTAAGGAAATGTGACATAGGCGTTAATTTGCCTGATTTTCCCAATCGAGTTTGGTTTCCCAAAGAGAGCGGTAGTTCCTAGCTTTGACCTACCAGGTGGACGAGATCTGCTCGCGATGAAAGCGTCCGGTTGGATCCAGTTTCCCTTTGAATGAAGCTGTGAGCCAGCCTGATGGCTCGGTTCGGTACGGCTTTACTCCGAACCAGCCAGCAGCGCTGAAACAGGACGCTCATGTTGGCTTTAACCTCTGCAGACCCGCTGTTGCTAAACACACGGAAGTTACATAGAAAGAGAAAAGCTGGAGAGAAAAAAAAACTGCTGTTCTCGTGTCAGTTTGCCAAGGTCGGTCGACTTAAGATTAGCATTACAGCATGTAAATGAACTGATCTGAAATCAGCCGTTTCAGACGCTTCTTCTTCTACTGTTTATTTCAAGCCTGGAGGCTCTCTGCTGCCATCAAGGGTAGAAAGTTAGGATTGCAGACTAAAAAAAGAGGCAGAAAATAGTTTAAAGCATTTATTTTTATAAAATCCAGACTCTATTTTCAAGAGACAAAGTTTATTTTATTATAATTTAATAATGAACAAACAAATGAAATTATTGTTTTTAATGCCTTTTTATTAAGCAGGTCCACAAAAAACAGCATTTCTTTGGTAAAGGATCGGGCTTTCCAACAGACAACAAAAAAGTTTATAAAAAGCAGACAACCTCAAATATAGCTCCTTTAAATTGCAGTTTTACAGTGTGAAGGCCAGTCTGATCTCAGCTCCTTATTGAAGTGGTAGTAAAGCCAAGCCACAATCGGGAAAACTGTGATGCCAACAGCTGTGGAGACTCGCAGCATCCCAACAGGGCCTCTGATAAAGGACAGTAAAGAAGGAAAACAAACAAGCTTTAATCTACTGAAAAAGATGAAAGTTGATTTGTCATGAGAGTAAATTACCTTCCAGAGTGGCGACACAAAAGGAGCCAAACAGCCGTTAGCGTTAGACCAGAAAATTCTCTAAAGAGATGGAAAAGGTTATTATTGATAGATAATTTCTCACAACTGCTATGGGTGTTCCTGCTCACCAATAGCCTATGCAAACATATATATTTATCCCATTATTATAAACATCACTTTACTAAATAGCCAAATGGAATAAAGTTTTTACACTCTATAAAAAATAGATTTTTTTTTAAAATCCACACTTGATTTTTAGGCATGTAAAAATATTTTTTTATTTATGTTTATTTGTTTTTAAAGAAAATGGCACTTATAATTGAAGGACAGTGCTAACTCCTGTGTGATCATCTGTTCGGGTAGCAGCATCAGAACTGGGGACTTGGAGCTCAACGAGGCTTGTTCTCTCCAGGGAGTTTTCTTTAGGAGTTTCTTTATAAAATTAAGATAATTAAGGACAGAGGCAAGTGATTGTTGTACAACAACAGTGTCTTTAGTTAGAAGCTTCATCAGATCCACCGCAATAAAAGATGCTCAAAGAGCCTTAGTGCCTACAGGCACTCAACTCTAGTACAAACAGTTACAACTAAATATAATTTCCATTCGCGATCAGCAAAGTATTTATGGATTGAATTTTAATTCAATTACATACTACTTTGATCTGGTCAGATGAGTTCCCTGGCAAATCAATTACAGAAACACCAAGGAGATTGAACCAGGGTTTGGAACCTTTAGCAGTGTGGGCAGGTATCAAGTCATGTTACACTAAATAATTACCAAGTGTGGAAATTAATACTCGCCGTCTTCGCTCTTATTCCAGACTCTGCAAGCTTTTATAAACAAACTGGATGTTACTTTAATCTGAAAATTGAACTTTGGACTACTGAGCAATAGTCCAAAGATTTATGACCTGCAAACACTATCCATAAACCCAAGAAATTTATTTGTTTACTTAAGTTGGTGAAAAAAAACAACAGTTGTGACTCCCTTTACTTTACAGAAAACCTAACAAGCATAAGTTCATATAGGACCACCAGGAATGATAACAATAAATCCCTCCTCAAAGATCTGATTAGTAACAAAATAGATGTCAGATACCACTTAAAAAAAACGTTCTGCAAAAATGATGCATGGAGGACAGGAAAGAATGACATGATTAAATTTTGCAATTGCTGCTCTTGTTGATTAGCAGCAGATCTTGATGGCAGGTAAGACACGTTAACCTGACTCCGCCAGATGGATTTGCTGCATTTGCTCCGCATATCCATCTGGAAACCTTCCGTTGAAATAATTTTGGGATGGGGCAAAAATACTGGTTAGCTGATTGGCCTATGTCGGTGATAGACGGGCCAAATAAACCAATCAGATCAACGAAGCATATGACGTACTAACAGAGCGACGACGAAGAGGAGCCAATTGATAGATCAAACTCTTGCTGAAACCAGTCGGGAGAAGAGCAAAAACATCTTTTCCTCTGAGAAAAGCCTCCAGAGCAGTGTT